CTCGTCCTCCTCTGTCTCCCTCCCCCTTCGCCACCGCGCGCCGCGCCGCCGGATGGCCGCCCCAGAGCAGGCCCCCCCAGCCTCGCATCGTCGACGTCGTCGGGCTTCGTCGTCGTGCTACTTCGCGCACGTGCCCGCCCTCGACGCCTCGGCTCCGTGGCAGGCGACGGTGACGGCGGCAACGACGACGCGGACCACGACTTTGTCGTCGTCTTCGGCCGCGGCTGCATCGGCGGCTCGTCCGCCGTCCTCCTCTATTCCACCTCCTTTTCTGCGTCATCATGGTTGCTTCTTTGCCCTCCGCCTCCTCCCACTCTCCTCAGCACCCTCCTATAAGTCCTGCCTGCCCCCTTGTCCTATTGCTCCTCGTCGTCATCCTCATGTCCAGCCTTTGCAGATTCCCCTTTCTTAGCATTATCCCCCTCCTCCTTGTCCTCGTTTTCTCCCTGTCCTTCTCCCCCCTGCCCCCTGGGGTGAAAAGCGAATGGATCATCACTCCGTGAACTCGGCTAAAGACCGCTTCGCTCACGATGGAGCCCTTCGCGCTGCGCCGCTTTACGCCTCCCCGCCATCTCAGCAGCTGAAGCTGGAAGCTCGATCCTCGATCCTCTGGTCGTCTGCGCCGGGGGCTCAGGATCACATCCGCGGTCGGGCATGCGGCTGTGCCCCCGACGGCTTCGCCAACGCGCGCGCACGGTGTTCTTCGCCCCTGCAGCGGGAGCACGTCGGCATCGGCGTGTGGCATCGGATGCAACTTCAGGAATACTTGGGATGCTAGGGATCGTGGCATTGATATATGTGTTGTGAATTGCGTGGCTCATTGCGGAATGCGGCGGCGGCATTGGAGAAGGAACGTGCTCCTGGGACCCAGACCTCGGCACATTCCTTATTGTTTCAAGGCGGGGTGGGTGGCCCACGTTCGGCCGCCCATCGGTCGCGAGACCCTGGGCTCCTTCTCGAAGGTATCCTTATCGAGAGCCTCCACCGTATTGGGTGATGGTATCAAGGCAGCTGGCTGCTCGTACGGCTCACTGGGGCCTGCCAGCACGCCGCGCGCGCCTCAGAAGGGGGCCTTCGCCTCCGGGGCGGCCGGCCGTCGGACGGCGGGCTGCGGGCGGCGGGGAGGTAGGAACGGCGGCGGAAGCCGGCGAAAGTGGAAGCAGCCCCTGTAAATGCCGCCCTCGACTAGACGCAAGAGTGACCTTTCGCCAGAGTGACCTTTGGTGCGGGCCCAATGGGGTCCCCCGATCGCCGAATCCGATGCGTATGGTAGCGTCTTGCGCGCTCGTGCTCGGCCCTCCCGCGGTCCCCAAGAAGCTGCGCACCAGAGGTCCCTTTTACCCAGGGTCGCTCTTGCGTGTAGCCGACGCCCCTGCAGATCGAAACAGAAAAAACGCCATCAACACAAACGTTTGGCGCTCCGCGCGGGTTTCTCGGGTCGGCGCTGGGCCCCCCCTGGCGGCGCCGGAGGCGCCGCCCCTGGCCCCAAGAAATCCGCGCGGAGCGCCAACAGCTTATGTTTATGCCGTCTTTGCTCCTCTTCTAGCAGAGGCGCTGCTCATTCCGAGGGCGACTTGATCATGCGGGTGTTTGTGCGAGGAGGGTCATCCTCCTATCTCTATTTACTCAGCGAAGCCGCACGTCAAGTCCACGCCCTCCTCCTCCTCCTCCTCTTCCCTCGCTTTTGCTCCTGTTGCCCCTCCGCCCTCCACAATTAATTACTTCCTCGTCCCTACCTCCCCTCCTGAACCCTCTCTCTTTCGACCTCCATTGTTCTCTTTCCATGAGTTCCCCCTCCATCCCCTTCGCCATAGCTGGCCGTCCCTGAGGCTGTAGCCATTAAGGCTCAAGTTCTTGACAGTCGTACACTAACGTCAACGGCGGCGGCCTTCCATATATCTCAGGTATGACAATCAGTCCGAAGGTGATGAAACGGATCGGTGCGGTTCTCGCCATGGTCACCGCATGCGGTGCATTGTCGTACGAGCCCGTGTCTCAAGAGGCGATGGAGCCCGAGCTTCCCGACGATGACAGTCAGGAGTTCGGAGGAACACAATGATGAGGAGGAGAATAGCACAGAAACTTTTCATAACCCCTGATTAATCTCTCATCCACCAAGGCTTGCTACACACCCTCCCTGGTCCTCTGACGTCCCGTTCCCGACCCGTTCCCCAGGACTGGCATTTCATTCCGCGTCGCCTTTCGACGGCCTCGGGGCCCAGAACCAGCCCGGTCGCCGACGAAATATCGAAGATGTGTTGGTCCGACGTTCCCCCACGTCGCATGTGCGTACCGGGTCTCCGGAAGCCTTGCCGAGGCCGACCTGCGGGAGATGTTCCCGGGAGGTTCCGGGGTGGGGGGGGGGGCGGGCCAAGAAGGGCCAGATGGTTCCATTGCCCCCGCTTACTTCCCAGGAGGAGGAGGAGGAGGAGGGGAGGAGGAGGAGGAGGAGGAGGAGGAGGAGGAGGAGGAGGAGGAGGAGAGAGGAGGAGGGGAGGAGGAGGAGGAGGAGGAGGAGGAGGGAGGAGGGGGAGGAGGGAGGGGGAGGAGGAGGAGGAGGAGGGAGGGAGGGGGGAGGAGAGGAGGAGGAGGCGGAGGCGGAGGAGGAGTAGGAGGAGGAGGACGTGGAGGAGTCTCCAAGGACCTCCTGAAGCTCGGCGCCAGGGGGGCGGCGGGCGGCAAGATCGGCAGCAGCGGCGAGCAGGTCGGCCTGGACGTGGTGACGGCCGAGGCGAGGGCGAGGGCGGCCAGGAGCGAGCTGGAGAAGATCGAGGCGGGATGTGTCTCTTCTTCCCTCCTCCCCCCCCCCCCCTCCACCCCCCATCCCCTTCCTCCTCTTTCCTCCTTCCTCCTCCCTCCTCCCTCCTCCTCTTCCTTCTGCCTTCTCCTCCTCCTCCTCCCCCTCCTCCTCCCTCCTCCCCTCCCCTACCCCCCTACTCCTCCTCCTCCCTCCTCCTCCCCTCTCTCCTATCCTCTCTCCTCCTCAGCATCATAAGCAACGTCATCATCATCATCATCATCATCATCATCATCATCATCATCATCATCATCATCATCATCATCATCATCATCATCATCCTTCTCATCCCTTCTCCCTTCCCCTTCACCCCTCCTCCATCTCCTCCACCTCCTCCTCCTCCTCCTCCTCCTCCTCCTTCCCCTTTCAGTTTCACGATTTCGCGCTGGGGTCCAAAGCCCATGCACCAAGCGGGGCACAGGAAAGGATGAAATTATGGGGGAGGCACGCCTCATTGGGCACTCCTCCTCGCTGCACCTGCGCGGCGTTCCCTGGGAAGACCCGCACGATGACGGGGCACTCTCCTCTCCTTACCTTGCATCTTCGGGGGACCTCGCCGGTCCCCAACAGTGGCGTCTTTTCTTGTGCCCGACGCGGGCTCGATGCGGACGCGGCGCGGATTTGGCGTGGATGCGACGCGGGCTCGACACACCTTCGGCACGTACCCGACGAGTCCGACATAGATTCGACACGGGTTCGATGCGGATAGGGCCGCGACGGGACAGACAAGGCCCCCCGAGGATGCAACACTGTTCTCCCTCGGAGGAGAAGCCCCCACCCCACGAGGTCGAGGAGGAGGAGGAAGAGGAGGAAGAGGAGGAGGAGGAGGAGGAGGAAGAGAAGGACGAGGAGGAGGGCTCTCCATGCCAGCCCCCGCCCCCACGAGCTCGAAGCACCGCTGCGCGCCCAGCGGCGGACGCTCCTCGACGTCGCGACGATGTTTTTGATGTTTGCTGGGGGGCGACGGAGTGGCTCTTCGACTCGGCCGCTTTTTGGCCTTCCTCGACCGCCTCTCTCGACCTCCTCTCCCTTGTTGTTCCTCGACCTCCTCCCCGATGTCCTCTTTCGACCTCCTCGACCTCTTCATCTCGACCTCCTTCCTCGACTCCCTCCCTTGTTCGTCCTCGAGCTCCTCTCTCGGCCCCCCCCCCCTTGGAGGGAGGAGCAGGAGGACGAGGACGAGGAGGAGGACGAGGAGGAGGACGAGGAGGAGGACGAGGATGAGGAGGAGGAGGAGGAGGAGGAGGAGGAGGAGGAGGAGGGTCTCCAGAGGTCTCTGGCCTAGAGCTCTGCGGCCGTGTTCGGAGGCCCAGAGGGGGATGGGGGAACAGGGAGAGCAGAGGAGGTCCGTGGAGGTGCGCGCGGGCATCCAGAGCGCCCACGAGCACGGAGCGCAAACCACGAGGGAGAGGGAAAGAAGAGGGCAGAGGAGGGTTGGGAGGAGGAGGAGGAGGAGGAGGAGGAGGAGGAGGAGGAGGAGGAGGAGGAGGAGTAGGCGAAAGGAAACAAGAGGAGGAGGAGGAGGAGGAGGAGGAGGAGGAGGAGGAGGAGGAGGAGGAGGAGGAGGACGAGGCGCAAGGAAACGAGCCCGGAGGAGGGCCGGGAGGCGGAGGCCCCCCGTGGACCTCCTGCCCGCGGCACGGTGCCGGCCGCGACCGTCGGCGCAGATCCAGGCGCGGAGTGCGAGGGCGACGCCCCCGGCGCGCCACGCGCGGCGGCCACGGGCGCGGAGAGCGTTCGGTCCTCGGCCTTGGCATCGCTCGGACGTGTGCGTTTTTTCCTCGGCGAGGACCATCGAGGAGCATCCTTCATCATTGGGCGAAAAAATCCACGCGCGAAGCCGAGCAAAAACACAGGGAATGGACGTCCGAGCGATGGCCAGTGGCGCCCTCGGGCCGTGATGTTCCAACCTGCTTTAGCCTGGATCACCAGAAGGCATTTCGAGCACCAGAGGAATACCGAGACTCCGTGTCGGGCCCTGGGAGACACTCGTGCGACACTGGCTCGACACTGTTTCGATTCTCCTTCGGCACTTCCCCGGGTGCTCGGAATTATTTCTGGGATGTGTTCCTGAAGTGCGATGGGAGCCACATAATCCTGGGGGGGGGGGGGATCGAGGCCCAGTGCGGGGACGAATCAGACGCCGACTGTGCGGGGGGGCCCTCCGCGGGAGGCGGAGGAGAGCGAGGAGGGCATCGCCCAGATGTCCGAGCGCCAGGTCGACGCCCAGGTGAGGCGCGCGGAGGCCTTTGGTCTTGCCCGCCGCCGCCACTTCAAGCCAGTGCCGCCCCGGCTGCTCGTCGCCGCTGTCGTCGTCGTCGTCGTCGTCGTCGTCGTCGTCTTCGTCGTCGTCTTCGTCGTCGTCGTCGTCGAGGGTCGTCGTGGTTGTCGTCGGCGTGGTTTCTCTCGTCGTCGCCGTCTTGGCTGTCGTGGTCGTCTTCGTCCCAGTCTTGGTCGCCGGAGTGCCTTGTTCAATCGCGCCGTGGTTTCGTTGGGTTTGGCTTCTGGGGGCCACTTCCAGGCCCGGGAGACCGTACAGCGTCCGGCTTGAATCAGGAACACTTACTTTTCAAAAGGGGCTCGGTCGTTCCTTTGGTTTGAATGCGATCCGCTACCTTTTTAGCGGCGTCTCCTAGTGTTCCTTCGGACTTCCTAGAACTACTGATAACAAAGGGGCTTCGTTCCTTATGTATCCTTCCTCAGGCCAGCCCGGGTACCGTAAACAGGACCCTGGAAGGGGATCAAGATGGGCGCTATGACTCAGGGGGGGAAGCATGGAAAATGCCATGATGTCTCTCGGGACCTCGTGGCCCCCTCCTCTTCACTCAACACGCCCCCTGGGCCCTCCCTGGGACTCCCTCGTTCGCGCACGCGCCTCGGGTCGTGATTGTCGAACCCCCTCTCTTGGAGGCCCGCCCTCCTCCTCCTCCTCCTCCTCCTCCTCCCTCCTCCTCCTCCTCCTCCTCCTCCTCCTCCTCCTCCTCCTCCTCCTCCTCCT